GGTCCATCATTTTTGGGTTATGATTAAATGATTATTAGAAGAAATTATATTTGTTATTTATTATTCACCACGCTTCATCTAAAGCAGAGTTTCCCAACATGGCAATGTCCAGATGTCTGGCCTTCAAATTCCAGAATTCCACAACCAGCAGGGTCACTGACGAGAACCCTGCAAAGTCCACATGCCTGGAAGCTGCCAAAGTCACAAAACATAGGTGAATAGTCAATAGGTGGCCTTACAGATTTTGCTCACCTTCTGCTCTCAGCCTTGACTGTGTAGATTAAACCGGTATTGCTATTGTTCCGATTGAGATTATGCTCTTCCATGCTCTACACATATTTGTGCATGCACGCACATACACTAGCAAGGCTGCAAGTAGACTTTTAGAACATCAGGCAATTCTTGCAGAGATTGTTAGATATTGAACAAAACTGTTAAGTAAGTACAGGTAGTCCTTGTGACCAGAACTGATGTGGTTGTTAAGTGAGTCATGCCTAATTTTACGACCATTTTTGCTGTAGTCATTAAGCGAATCACTGTGGTTGTTAAGTGAATCACATGGTTGTTAAGTGAATCTGGCTTCCCCCATTGACTTTGCTCGTCAAAATTGCAAATGGCACGTGACCCCAGGACGCTGCAACGGTTGTAAATGCATGCCGGTTGTCAAGCACCCGAATTTTGATCATGTGACTGCGGGGACACTGCAACAGTCATAAGGGGGAGGACTGGTCATAAATCCCTTTTTTCATCACCATCATAACTTCAAACGGTCATTAAACGAATGATCATAAGTTGAGGACTACCTGTACACTCCATTCTGGTTGGTGTTGGGATGGGAAATGGCCAGGCTGCCTTGTTGAATGTCTCCTGAGCTTCTGTGGGGAAAAAAAGGCAAAAGTTAGGCAAAATCATATTAGAATTTAATATTTGCCAGGTTCATTTATCCTTTGTTTGGTCATTTCATTTTCTTAATGGGCATGAATAAAGGATAAGAGTAGTGAAATTATATCTGTGTGTAATCTGTACAATGCTGGAACATTGATTGGGCTTTTTTTGTTTGTTTCATTTTTAGTATGTTACTGAAGCAGAGGGAAATTTGCAGAGAGCAGGGGCCATGCTGGATGGAGCACAGAAGGAGAAAGTAGAGTTACTCAACCAGTTAGAAGAGGAGAAAAGGTACCCACAATTTGAGGAGGTGGGGAGTTGAAAATAGAATGGGCGTGAGTGAAATACGGCTCCTTGTCTGCTCAGGAGCAGGCAAATAATCAAGGTTGGTGATTTAATATATCTATATTGAAGTGGGTTGTATCGTACAGGTAGTCCTCAGTTAACAACAGCAATTGGGAGCAGAATTGCCATCACTAAGTGATGCAGTCGTAAAGCGTGATGTCACATGACTGCGCCACTTAGCAATGGCAATTCTGGCACTCCCAGTTGCCATCATTAAGCAAATCACCGTGGTTTGTTAAGTGAGGATGTCACGTGATCACTATTTGCAACCTCCTGCCAGCTTCCCCATTCACTTTGCTTGCTGGAAGCTGGCAAAGAAGATTGCAAATGGCAACCGCATGAACGTGGGACACTGCAATGTCGTAATCGTGAGCTGGGTGTCAAGTGCCCAGACTGCAATCACATGACCACAGGAATGCTGCAATGGTCGGAACGCCAAGTATCGGTGATAAGTACCACTCGTTCAGTGCCGTCACAAGTTTGAACAGTCACTGAACAGGTGGTCGTTAACTGAGGATCACTGTAATGTGCTAGGGAGTAGGAAAGAGCCAGTCTGGTGTTGTGGTTAAGGCATCAGGCTAGAAACTGGGAGACTATGAGTCTAGTCCTGCCTTAGGCACAAAGCCAGCTGGGTGACTTTAGGCCAGTCATACTCTCTCAGCCCTAAGAAGTAGGCAATGGCAAACCATTTCCAAAATCTTGCCAAGAAAACTGCAGGGACTTGTCCAGGCAGTCACCAGGAGTCAAAACTGACTCAAAGGGACAACCAAAAAAACAACAACACGACATTATTTATTTATTTAAGATGTATACAGCCGCTCATCTTAAACAACTCTGGGCAGCGCACAACACTAGGAGCAGTGATGATTCTTTTAGCAGCAATAATTCAGCTTGTTTGACTTCCATTTCATAATCTGAGCTATAAGGATGTAGTGACTTTGGAAAATGTTGCACATGGTCCCTTTCTTCTGACTTTTCCTTTTTTCCCTTCTTTAATAGGAAAGTAGAGGATTTGCAGTTCCGAGTTGAGGAAGAATCCATTACAAAGGGAGATTTGGAGGTAATCGACAGCATGGCCATTCCTTATTGGAATATATACGGTAGCCTGAAGCATTGGTGATCTCCTCTCTTTTGATGTCATCTTTTAATAAACTGAGTGTTGACTGGCTAATGGAGGATCAAATGCAGGCTGTTGGGTGTGTTTTGCAGAATGGCACAGGCAAAATAACACTGAGGAGTCTCCCGCGGATAATATGACTAGTCTACTTTTATAGTCAAATAATTGGAAAGAGGGATTCTAATTTTTGTTTGTTTATTTTTAACGACTTTGGAACTTGTTTGGCTCAGTAAATTAACATGCAGCTCAATCACCAGCGTGCGTGAAGATCACGTATGGGCATTTCCTTCCCATTTTTATCATCCTAGTTTTATTTCTAATTTAAACAGCATTTGTTTGAGTCCTAGTATGTAGGGAAATGGTGTTTCAAGCTCACCCCACTTTCTACACTCTTACTGGACAAAGTCTATATAAAAACCTACAGGATTCTTTGCCTTTCTTCTAGGAGAGGTTTACTGTTTTGAATGGTTATCAATGCCATCAATGTGTACTTAGAACCAAGCCCTATTGATTTCAGTGGGACTTGCTCCCAAGCAAATGCAATAATGCTCTACATGTGTTGAATTTCAGCTCCCTTCACTCCCTAGCAATCATGACAGACCGGTTCCCATGCATCTGGAAGGCACAAGCTTTGGGAAGGCTGATGTAAGAGATTGCTCATACCTCTTCCCAGAGACATTAAAATTAGATTTAATTCAAAAGGGAGTGCATATTAAGTGAAGCGCCCATTAATATAGCATATATGCAGATCTGCTGGCAGCCTGACCTGGACAAACAGGCTGACTCAATATATCCTAATTTGGGTGGTCGGCTGATAACACAATCAATATACTGTCTTGGATAAATAGCTTGTGCACACTAGGATTGATCCAAAGAAGAAACTCCCAATATCAGTGCTTTGCAGGGGCTGTTCCCCCGATGCATCTGACTCAGTGGTCCTCTGATAATGATTTTGGGGTGAGCAGTGCAGTCTGGTCTGGTAGCAATTCCCAGGCTCGGTGTCCTTCTAAGATGGACTTGACACGAACTGTGGCTCTGCGTCCTTTCTCCAGAACAAGAACTGACTCAGTAGGAGACTGTCTGGAGCAGCTATTTGCAGTGGGAAGGGAATCCAACTTGGATTGTGACATGTAGACATGTACACACATACATGTGTCTACATGTACATACATGTGTCTACGTGTGCATGTGCCTACATGTACACACATGTAGAGATCGTGGCATGCAGAGATGTACACCTATGTATTTAATGGTTTGTGTGTCTATTTGCAGTTGTGAGGAGGATTAACGTGAAAGCTACTTTTCAGTTCTCTTGCAGAGTTGCTGTATTCACACGTTGCATCTTGTTTGGAAGGCTGTCCCTGTCTTTCCCAACCTTGCCCTCCTTCCCACCCTATTTTGTGAACTGTCTTTCCTCACCTTGTATACTGAAGATAACATTGCAGGCATCTCCATCATTATTATTATTATTATTATTATTATTATTATTATTATTATTATTATTCCCTTGTTCTCTACTCTCTTTCTCCTGTTCGTTGTCCCTCCTGATGTGTGACCAGACTCAGACGCAGCTGGAGCATGCCCGAATACGGGAGCTCGAGCAGAGCCTCCTGTTTGAGAAGACGCAGGCAGCAAAACTTCTCAGAGAATTGGAGGACAGCAGGGTAATCCCACATCCCCCTTGGCTGCCCCACTTCATGCTAGCCAATGCCTGCAGACCAAATTGCTTGATGGCTATGTTGATAGTTCCTATAGACCTTTAGTTTTTTTTTTTAATTGATTTTTTTTTTAATTTGAGCTTTCATGTCTCATGTTAATATTCTGTTTTGCAATTCCTCCCCTGCTCCCCACAATCCCCTCTCCGCTTTTCTGGAGATCGTAACACTTTGCAGTTTTGCCGTCTTTGCCTATGAGACAAATCTTTCCTTTGATTTCCACTCTGCAGCTTCTCATGCATATCATTTGGATCTGACCGATTTTGCCATTCATCATCCAGTTTAACAATAATCATTGGTGGAATACAGAAAGCTATTTACCAGATGATAGACGCTCTACTTGGCTTTGCAAGTGGTTGTCTCTATTGTGGTTGCATCCCATGAAGAAGAGATTGTTCTTTTGTCTCTAACCTAGCAATCTCACCCAGTTGGAAAGCAGGGAGGTGTTACAATTCATCCTCCTCTGTTTCCTTCTGTTGTCCGGAACCCCTCACCAGCTAGTTTTCTGTGCAATTCTCTGCACATGAATTGGCACTTGGTAAATGGCAACCTGTATTCACCCGTCACCACTGCAGAGTTGTTTGGGCTCCCAGGAATTCTGCATCATAACTAAATTTTGCAGTTACAGGACCAGCATTTTGGAATGCATGGTAAAAACAAGCATGTAGGCATCAGTATTCTTATCCAAAAGGATGGTATTAGATACTAGGATGAAGTTGGTCCTTGAAGAAGATCTCTTTTTCCTGTGCCTTTTTCATCTATTGTAATTTAATCTAATCTAATTCATCAATACCTGCCCATTTTTAATCATGGATCCTAGAGTACAAGAGGATCCTATATAATTGGGCATTCTGGTACTAACTCAGAATAGGCTTTCAACCGCTGTCTGTCGTGTGCCGTCAAATCATATTCAAGGCTTTGAGTCTATTTCATGCCTGGTACCCTGCCTTTGTCCCTATGGAGTCATCTAAGGGGAAGGGGAATTGGAAAGGCCCAATCAAATTGGAGACAGATATAGTGGATACACAGGTCTTTGGGCACGTTAATAGTATCTCATGTTGTCACCATGAACTGAAAAATGCTATCAGGCTTCAGGGAAAGTTCAAGATATCTCTGCTCCTTTTCCTAGACTGTTTTGGAGTCTGACATTCTACCTAAATTTCACAAAAGATCCAGAAAAACATACTCTCCAAATAAAAATCCCACTCAGCAACCAGAACCAAGCATTCTAGATTTGGGGCTCAGTCCTCCGGGATGTTGTAATGTCATGCTTAATGCTTAATCCCATTGTTAGGCATAGCTCCTGGTACCATTTTTTAAAATCTTTATTCATTAGATTTACATCCTACCTTTCCTCCAAGAGCTTGAGGTGGCTTCCATGGGGATTTCCCTTCATTTTATCCCCACAGCAGGACCCCCATGAGATAGGTTGGGCTCAGAGAGAGGGGCTGGCCCAAAGTCAGTCCCATGAGCTTTCATGGCTGAAGGTAGACTAGAACATGAGGCACCTTGCTCGTAGTCCAGCACCTTCAGCAGTATACCACACTGACACTTGGGACTGGCCCCAAGTCCCTGAGGGAACTTCCATGGCTGAGAGGAGACTAGAACCTGGATCTCCCCACTCCTAGTCCAGCATCTTCACCACTACACTATATTGGCTGAGGGAGAACAAGAGAAGCCCAAAGCCACACAGTGAATTTCTGACTGAGGGTGGAGTTAACTGGAACCTAGGTCTCCCAGTCCTAGTCCAACACTTAGACACTGCACCAACCACTGGCTCTCTATCCCATCTATAAATCTTTTGTGAAATTTTGCAGTATCTTTAAAAAGAAAGGAAGCCATTATTATATGCAATATTTTTAATTTGTGATTTTCACCTCTGATGATGTCAGAATTTAGCCATAGTTTGTCATTGTTTACTGTTGCGACCAGGAATGTATTCTATTACTAGCCGTAGTGCTCATATATGGAGAAATAATACTGTACTATTCAATTTTTGTTTGTTTATTTCGTTATCTCTGTATACAAAACTGGGAAAGTGGCTTATTTATACAGTCCTTTGGAGTTTTTATCCTAGTGTTTTTTATGATTTTAATTGTTAGATTGAATTTGAATTATTGTTAAAGTATTTGTAAAGTTGCCTCAAGCTACTGGAGTTGAGTGGAATATAACTTCAGTAACATAAATAGAAATAAATCATTTTATGCTGGTTTTACCCCCTCCTCCCTCCAAAAAAGCTGAACATGAGCACAAAAATAATGCAGAAGGTGATATCAATATGCATAAAACTGGGCTATACTACTTCATATGTATGGAAGAAATAATTTCCAAAACATAGATGTTGATCAAAATGCAGGGGGACATCTCTTTGTCATGGAAAAAAGTACCATTTGTGTAACTGTTGCTCTGTCTGCTGTCCACATGTTAACTGTCTAGGGGCAACTTAAAAGGCCTGTATTGATCTCTGTTCTTAAGATTCTTGGTTTTAAAACCCATTTGCTCCTTCTCACCAGTTGAGGAATTCTGTGGGAATGGAGCTTGCTTTTTGGGATTCTGCAGAAAGCATGCTTTTGGAGTGAATGAATCTTAGAAAGTTCTGCACAATTTACTTTGTTTATTAAAAAACAAATTCCTTCTCTTGATAAGGTTCATCTATCACCCTAAGACACAATGTGGCTGGTGTTAAGATTAGCCTCTGTGAACTAATCAGTGTGGTCTGCTGCTGTCACCGTGCGAGGAGACAAAGTTTGCTCTCTGCTGCCCTGAGGGATAAGATTACATTTCGTGGGATTTTGTAGGAGGAGAGTAGATTTCAGATGAACCTTACGAGAGACTTTTGGAGACATAAGAGCAGTTCACAGTGACACTGATTATTATGTGACAGGTAGGCAGGTGCTCCCTTGCTGTGTCCTCAGCTTTGTAACTGAGTTTGGGAGATGCTCTGACTTTCCTCTGTCAGGCAGCGGTTTGGATCAGAAACTTTTGAGTCCTTCTCTAACTTTGCGCTTCCGATTCTGAATGTTTAGAGCTAGCGTTGGAGTCAATTTGGCGCTTCCATTCAGCAGACCAGCCCGTGTTGCCAGACTTTATACCTTTGAATATGCCGGCCTTCCAGTTCTCTCTGTTTCCTTTTTACCATGATTCATAAACCAAAGGTGCTGTACCGCATCAGTTTCCCAGCTGCTTCTAAGCCCATCATTAAACATTAACCATGGTCAGCAGTTTGCTTATACATCAAGCACCATTCCTTATGTATTCCTTTTGAACATTTCTGTTAATGACTTCTAACCAATTTCCATAGGTTGGTTGGTTGGTTGGTTGGTTGGTGTGGCTGGCTTACACTTTCTTTTACACCAGGGTAAGCTATATGGCGAGCAAAGAGTCAATGACTATGGAACAATTGAGCAAACCCAAATCTGACATTACCCAATTTAGCAGATTAGGGTTGAGAGTTGAAATGTCTGTTAACAGCCTTATGAAATAATCTGATACATCAGTTGACAAGAATGCTGGCATTTATTTTATTTCTCACTTTGCTTTGCACTTTCAGCAACCCACTATGCTGAACAAAAAGTCACCAAGGTTTTTGTTTTCAAGATGGAGAATGCTGAGGCTGAAGGAGCAAGTTTCTAAAAGCCGCTCAGCAAACCTGCAAACCACTCAAATCTTGAGGTGTTTAATCCGCAGTGCTTCTCAGACTTGGCAACTTTAAGACATGTGGAGCTCAACTCCCAGAATTCCCCAGCCAGCTAGGCATGTGAAGGCAGTGAAGATGGTATATGGGAAGGCAGGGTTGATAGATGGGATAGACCGGTTTTTCTCAATCTTGACAATTTTAAAATGTGTGGACTCCAACTCCCAGAATTCCCCAGCCAGCATTCTGGAAGTTGAAGTCCACACATCTTAAAGTAGGCAAGGTTGAGAAACACTGGGATAGACTATGGCCAACATTTTGCATTACAGCATCACACCAAGGTTGGGTTTGTACATGCAGCAGAATGGTGCAATGGAATCCTAATTTGGGGGGCTCAGCCATGCCATTTCAAGCTGCAGGTGGGTGAGGTTTTGTGCAGAGGGGAGAAAAGATTTCTCTAAGCAAGGAGAAAACACATGCCGTGCATAAAACGTATCCTGCATTATTTTCTACCAATTCTCATTCAGTCTGAGAAAAAAGAATTTGCTTTTAAAAATTCCTTTTAAAGGGGAAGAGATGTCAGTGACATTCTTATGGGTAAAATCTCGTATGCTGGCATTTATTTAATTACAAAATGGCCAAAGTGTGTATGTCAATATCCTGTCTTTTGTTGTATACTATTAGCCTCCCTGCCTTCTCACAGTGGGGCTCTTCGTAGGGAACTTTTTCAGATTAGGAAGTGTGGGTTGTCAGGGAGGCTTCAGAGTGGTGGAAAGAGATGCCACAGAAGACAACATCTTCAGAATAGCAACCTCTGCCACCATGAACAATAACCCTAACCAAACCCTAAGCTCAGAAATAAGCCCAAGAGCATTTCTAAAGACATTTTCAAGCTCATTGAGAAGAAGATAGGAAACACTTTTTTCAAGGAAGCCATTTTTTAAGAAACTGCAAAGTAGGTTTTGACATAGCATTAGGAAAAAGAAAAACTTATTTTATTTTGTTTTAAGCAAGCACAGCAAGGGGAAAGATTTTATCCCTGAGATGCCAGTTTGCTTCTCAAGAGAAGCTGTATCCATATGGATTGTGAAATAGCTGTGGTCTCCACCAGATGTCTGAATTGGTACTTGCCATCTTACCATTTCACAACTCTGCTGTCTCATTCCCACTCATTCTTCCAGCAGCCACTCTGATTGTAAATTCTAGGAGTTTCATCCCCACACATATGGAGACTGCCAGATTGCAGGAGACTGGTATGCAGACCTTTTCTTTTATTTTTAAGGAGAAGCAGTGATGTTTCTAGGCAAAAGAGTTTTCCCTATTGCTCTCTGGAAAATCGGAATTGAACCTGGCTGTCAATGGCCTAGTTCCAAAAGAAACAAAAAAAGGAAGCTCCCTCAATGGAAAATTTACCCTGGTGCAAAAACGAAAACAAAAATCCAAAGCCTTCAAAGAATGAGATCTGTTTCCATTGCATAGGTAGTTGCAATCCCTCTACTAAGAGCTTTTTCACGCATTTGGTAGCAAAAACATTCCAGTGTGCTACTTAAGATACTTATAATTACTCTTTGCTGTCCAGGCTGTATGATGTTAACGATTCCAACACCTTGGCTCTGTTCACACAAGATGCATTTGCATAATTTATTTGAGCAAGTTGGTTAAGATGTAACTTACTGTAACTACAGCCCATTTGCTAGTTTATGCTCGGTGTATTTTGTGAAGCCAGAAAACCACGCTGAGCATGCTGTATGAACATTTCATTGCATTCATACTGTAGCAGTTACAACTAGGAATTCTGGAGGTTGTAGTCCAGCACTTTAGCAGTGCACCCAATTGGGAAGGGCTGATGAACACCTTTATGCATACTTATAATACCTTGGTAATATACTTTAAAAAGAGAAAGCTTCCACAATGAGTGAAGAAGCTCTAGGATTTACAGGAGCAGGGAAGCTATGGCCCTCCAGATGTTGTTGAACTCCATCAGTCCTAGCCAATGTTTTGGGATGGACAATGGTCAGCTGCATTCTAATGACAGCTGGAGGGCTGCAGGTTGCCCACAAGTGCATATGAAAATGCAATCACTGATTCTAACTTTCTTTTTAATAATCTCTTTCAGTTAACTACAGTGGCAGAGAAGTCAAGAATCCTTCAGCTTGAGGAAGAGTTGACCTTAAGGCAAAGTGAGGTTGAGGAGTTGCGGCAATGTTTAAAGAATTCTCATCAGCCAGAGTCTCCAGACCGCAGCCTGGGCCTGCAGACCGAAGCTCTCCGCTTACGTGACCAGCTGTTCTCAGCCACCAAGGAGCACCAGAAAGAGAGTATCCAACTGAAAGAAAAATATGAGAGGACTTTGAAGAAACATCAGCAGGAGGTTGAGAAGTTGAAAGCCCTCAATGAAAAATACTCCCAAGAAATTGTGGACCTCAAACAAAAAGTTCAGCAGGCCACCAATGAGAACATGGGCTTGATGGACAACTGGAAGTCAAAGCTGGACACGTTAGCATCAGACCATCAGAAGTCATTGGAGGACCTCAAGGCTACTTTGAACACAGGCTCTGACAGCCAGCATAAGGAAATAGTGGAGCTGAAAGCTGTAGTAGAAAGCATCAAATTGGAGCACCAATTAGAGCTGGAGAACCTAAAAGCCAAGCATGACATTGAGATGGCAGTTCATATTAAAGAGAAGGAAAGTCTTAAGCTGAAGGTACAGGAAGTCAAGGAAGAAATGGAAGAAAGCAACAACAATTGGAAGATCCAGTTGGAAACCAAAACAAACCAGCAGCTTATGGAACTTCAGGACTTGAAGGATAAATGTCGAGATGCAGACCTCAGAGTCCATGAGCTGGAGAAGCTACACAGTGATTACAAGGACCAGGCACAAGCCATAGCTTTCTTGAAAGAACAGATTTCCTTGGCTGAGAAAAAGATGCTGGACTATGAGACACTGCAGAAAACTGAGGCTCAGAGTAAACAAGAGATTCAGCGGTTGCAGGAGAAAGTTCTTGTGTTAGAAAACAAATTGCACTCCACAGAGCCACTCCACCCTTCCCAACCCACCAATGTGAGTGTTTGAGTTAAATGCCCAGTGTCCATGATTAGCTATTGCTTTTTAAAAGAAATTTGCCATGGTTCCTTACCTTTTCTCTTTTGTTTTTTATTTTACTTATTAATGTGTAAGTTAAAGAATACAAAAGTTTAAACAGCTTAAGCTGTTGGCTAGATCTTTTTTCCAAACTGGCCACTATGTGGGATGGCTCGGATTCCTTGAAAAGGAAGTTCAAACATCAAGGTATATGGATTAACTTATGGCCTTGGTTCATTCAGGGTTCCATTTACTATATTAAATTCATAAATTAAATTAATGAATCAGCATGCATTGCTCCTTATGAAGTGAAGTAGGATAAGTAAGTTCTTCCCTTGAGAACTTACAACTATCTTCAGAGTATTGAGGAAATATATGGGAGGAGGAAGGAGAGCAGATTGGGATGGTGACCCCATGGTCACAATAAAACCTCAATTTTCCAGAGTCTGCATGCAATGGACAAAATTTAACTGTGTTTTTATCATTTGCATAATAATATGCTATTGTAATTTATGTAACACACATGATTACCAAAGTCAAACCAACATAATTTTTAAAAATCCCCTCTCACCCCTATAGGTGGTAAGTGTCTTCCTCAATCTCGGGTCCTCTACCAGAGGCCTGGGAGTTTGAGGGTTCTCCGTAGTATCTTACCTGTTCCTAGCCCTGCACTCTTCTGGACAGAGAGCTCTGATGTCATTCCTGGGATCTGTCGGAGCCATTCTCCCAGCTTAGGAGTCACAGCCCTGAGTGCTCCTACCACCATTGGGACCACTTTGGCCTTTACTTTCCACATCCTCTCTAGTTCCTCCTTCAGGCCCTGGTACTTCTCTAATTTCTCATACTCCTTCTTCCTGATGCCTGTCACTTGGCACTGCTACATCTATCAGCGCTGCTGTCTTCTGGTCCTTGCCTACTACCATGATGTCTGATTGATTGGCCAGTACCTGCCTGTCCGTCTGGATCTGGAATCCCACAGGATCTTAGCCCTGTTATTCTCTACAACCTTCTGTGGAATCTCCCATCTGGACTTGGGAGGGTCTAGCCCATACATTGTGCAGATGTTCCTGTACACAATGCCAATTACACGGTTCTGCCATTCAGTATGTGCTGTTTCTGCCTGCATCTTAAACCCTGCTACTATGTATTGGACTGTCTCTGAGGCTTCTCTGCACAGTCTGCACCTTGGGTCCTATCTAGCATGATAGACCCCTGCTTCTGTGGATCTGGTACTTAATGCCTGTTCTTACGCTGCTATGATCAGTGCCTCAGTGCTGTCTTTTAGTCTAGCCCTTTGCAGCCACTGGTAGGATTTCCCAATGTCAGGCATCTCAAATTTTTATATATATATATATATATGTGTGTGTGTGTATTTTTTTACATTTATTTAGATGATTGAAACAAATGACATTTCAGAAGAAAAGATCAAGATGAAACAAACAATGGAAGGTAAGAGTGCATCACATTTTGGGATCTTGGAATTTGACATAATGAATACAAATATCACTGCATTTGGCTGAAGTTTCTGTTCCTGCCTGGGTCATCACTGACCTTTTTCATCCAAATGCTGTACAAAAAGCCCCCTCTCCCAAAAATTATAGTGCTACCTGCTGCAGGGCTACAACTCTGGCACATGTTCACTCTGCTGCTCTTTAGATGTTTAGCGCAGCAATTGAAAATCTGTGGCCCACGTCTATGTGCCTTTTGACAAAGGCCTTCTGCCAGCAGTTATCTCAGACTTCTGTCAAAGCTAGCCTTCTGCTTCCCTAGCCTGGGGATAAAGGATCAAAATATTAGAGCAGCATAAAGGGTAGCTGAAAGAGTGCAGGAAAAACATGGCCTGGTCCTAGTTTAGCTCTGACTCTAGTTTTAGCACTACCAACCTGCAGCCCCCAGTGGATTACTCATAAAGAAATACTGTAGAGGTCACAGAAAAAAATTATTCTTCTTTTCTGCTTTGGAGTGAGTAGTCTAGGGCAAGTCTACCTGCTTTTTGGCATTGATTTTTGGTCTGGCAGGTTCTCTTGTCATTTTAATTTCAAAAAATCTCAAAAGTCTGTCAAACAGTTTAGAAGCATAGACACTGGACTTGCTTACTTATTTAGATGTACAAGGTGGCTGGTTTTGTGTAATTCTTTTCTGCAAGGGGTAAGATGCTGAGGACAATATGTAACACTTTGTAGGAAGTTGTTTCTCCTGCTTTCTGGACTGATGGTGTAATTACTGTATGCTGTGAACATGCAGGAGATATTTTTGCATTTAAGGAGTATACGTAATTCCCAGCTACCTTGTACATCTAAAAAAGTAACTCTGAACCTTGTTTCTCTTAGCATTTGTCTCTCACTGGATTTGCCTTGAATGAATCAGTGACTTGTGCTCCCAGCAAGGCTGTGTATCAACACTCTTTTATGTCTCTACTAAAGTTATCTTTGCCTTACTCCTAAATGTGTAATTTGGTGAACGGGACTTGCCTGCAGGATGATGAAAAAGAATTCCCGGGCAAGATTTCCTTAGTTTGGTGTCCTTGCAAGCATGTTGGACCTCAGCTCCCAGAACTCTATGCTTGGGTGAGGGGTGAGGTGGAGGGTGGGATTCAAAATAGTGTTTTCAGTGCTTCTTTTTGTTTTACAGATCTCCAGGACAAATTGAGTAAAAAAGACAAAGAGGTATCGTCACTTGTCTCCCAGACAGATACTCTAAGGGCCCAAGTAAGTGGTAAGTCTCATTGGGCTGGTGTTGGTCAAAATGGAACTATTTTGGTGGAGCCACAACCATTTTGGGAGTTGCGTGAAAGATTATGCAGTGTCAAAGTTACATTCCTTCAGAATAAAGATGATCTTGTAAGAAAGAACACTAATAAATAATTTCCTTGCATGTGGAAAACAAGCAAATTGGGTTGAAAGTAAGGATAGACTAGGATAAGAGTATGTTAATTGCATAGGTTCAAGATTTTTTTGTGTTTTGGGGGGGGATCTGTAATGGGTGGCCCTTTTAATTGGTGGAGCTGAAAAATTCTGTATTTTTTAAAAACACTATTTTGTTTTTGCTATTATAGCATTGGGGAGCGGAGAGCACAACATTAAGAGATGGGTTTTTTCTTTAACCATTAGCAAAAATTTTGTTGGTGTCTAGATTCACATACTGCACCATGATTTTTAAATCATAGTCTGTTGAATAAACCATAGTGGTTTGATTCACATAAACCTCTAAGCACAAGAGCTGGGCTCACACTGCCCACTAAGCCAAAAGCAAGCCACTTAGGGCAAGGTAGGATCCAACCTATTATCTCATCATTCTTTCACTGCTTCCAAAAAGATACCATTACTGGGCTGTGGGTAGATCTGTTTAAACAGGTTCTTATTTTTCTTTGTTAAACTGGAGAGTAACCATATATATTGCATTTGATTATAATTAAATTTAAACGTAGGTCAGATGAATTCAGATCTAGTTTTGGAGCATGGCATGTGGCACATCAAGGGTACTACTCAGCCTGGAAAAGTTGTGGAACCCTGGATTAGATAAATATTGTTTGATTTGGTATACCGGTCATTGCAGGGTCCTTCAGTGAACAAGGAGGGTTGGGATTGATCAGCCTTCTCCAACTTAGTGCCTATTCTGGCTGGGAAGCATAAGAATTGTTATCTAACACATCTGTAGGATACCATGTTGAAAACATTGCATTAGATGATCTTCAGGATACTTTTCAATTTCCTTTCTCACCTTCTTCCTCCAAGGCACTGACTTCCCTATGGGAAAGTCCTGAGAAAATTCTTTTCTAGAATATTCTAGGAAACTGTTTTAAATAATATTTGTACTTATGATTGTGTATATTATTTATAAGCCACCATAGGAAAATTGCTATCTTGAAAGGTGGGATAAAAATAACGGCAATAAATAACTAGTACATATGTTTTTAACTAGTGCACAGGCAATCTTTACCCCATCTTTCTTCACAAATCTAGCCCCATCCTTTTCAACATGACTCATGGAAAGTCCTCTAGGTTACCTGTATTCCTGGCTACCATTAACCAGCACAGCAAAATCAAAGCAACACAGACTCTTGTTGAAAGATTACAGTGGTTAGGTTCAACTATGATACGAAAATATACATGTCACAGTTAATACTTAAAAATGGAAGCAAGAGGAAGGCTGAGAGCAAGAATGTTGCCTTACCAGCATGGCCTCGAAATGGCCAGCCCATTTTTACATGAGAATAAGTTCTGCTAAAATAATTGAAGTAGACTTGAGGAAACACACATAAAATCCTAGGGAAGTGATGATACACAAGGCCCCTGGTCTCTATGCAGCCTCTTGTCATGCATGATCATTGTCCACCTTGACTGGGGCTGAAATGGAGTACAACAGTGCCTGGAGGACCAGATATTCCCCACCCTTGCTTCATGCTTAGAGGGGGCAATCTTTTTGACCAGGAGAATCACAATTCACATTCACCCTCCTGAGGAATTGGATTGGGTCCGGGTTAAAGTTAGAAATGGGCATGGTATCCCTCATAGAAGTTTATCTCATCCATATCCAGGCCTATTTTGATGTTTTTGCTGCAAAATCACACCTTTGAAACTCAGCCATTTTGTTGTTGAGTTTGTTGAGTGGTGCAATCTCAGCCTGTTTTGTGGTAGGATTAAAGGATATAAATATATACATTTTGCTTTAGGGAGAACTAGCATTTCTACACTTTCTTTGGCATATTTGCACCAAAACATGTCACTAGAAATTAGACATTTTTAAGGGCATGAATTTTGGGGTATGTGGGAATGCCTGTGAGCTGTTGTTTACCACCTCCCCAACTTAGAGGATTGTTTGGATTGTTTGTGGCCAAATTTAGATGATATTGTGTCTCTGTTGTAAGAGACACATCCCCTCCTGCTTCAATTCTTGATAACTTACCCTGCCTCTGACCTATTGGCTATGATGGCTAGAGCTTATGAGAGTTGTGCTGCAGCAACATCTAGAAAGTTACAAGTTCTCCACCCAGATCCATAAATCACAAACTGGCTGGTGTAGACATCTTCCTCTTCCTGCTTTGCCAAGGGCTCCAGTCCAGTTTATTCTATGTTTTTCCCCCCATCTCCTCTCTCTTTCTGTTTGCCAGCACTGGAAAATAGATGCAAGAGCGCTGACAAGAAGGTGGATTCTTTGTTGAAAGAAAAGAAAAGGCTGGAAGCAGATCTAGAAACAGTGTCAAGAAAAACACATGATGCTTCTGGTCAGCTGGTTCTGATCAGCCAGGAGCTATTAAAAAAAGAAAGGTCAGTCTTCTCTCCACCCAAAGAAAATATGACATATTCAGAGCATTAGGAACCCCAGTTATGATTTCAGAATTCTGTAATAGAATCTAGAAGTGGTTCCAAGGAAACCTTGACTTCTATGCACAGGACTGTCACTGCTCAATTTTGGTAGAACTCTAAAACTGGAAATGTCTAGGAAAACATTGGGTGGCAGGTTCTGGGGTTTCCTGAATGGGGTAGCTTTTCAATCTGTAGAGCCTTCCAGATGACATCTCCTAGAATTCCCAACCTTTGACTAAGCAGCTTAGAAATTCAAGGAGTTGCCATCTCAAACATTTCTAAGAAAAACTAGGTTGGTAAAGGTCTATAGTAGCAAAAATGGTAAGGTATCTTAAAGACCCTTCCTTCCTTCCTTCCTTCCTTCCTTCCTTCCTTCCTTCCTTCCTTCCTTCC